TTCTTCTAATCATAATAAAACTGACATGGAAACGTAAAAATCACAATTTTAAACATGAAACTTCTTGTCATTGCATTTCTGAATTTGATTAGCCATTGTTCAGTACAAAAAGAGTTCGAAATACTATCTTATGCATAAAAGCGTTTGAGATGAATCACGTGCCAGGATCGCGGCAACTGTCGTCCTTCGCCATCTTCGAGTTTGTATGCGCCTCTTTCGAGTACCTTGGTGATGGTGTAAGGTCCTTCCCAGTTGGCTTCAAGCTTCCCGACATGTTTAAGGGCATCTGCTCGCTTGAGGACGAGGTCTCCTACTTGAAATCTCCGGGTGTGGACCTTCCTGTTAAAGGCCGCACGCATCTTCTGTTTGTACTCTATAGATCGCAGCCAAGCTTCGTCTCGCACTTCTTCTATCATGTCGAGGGCTTCTTTTGCTAGCTCTTCATTGGTCCTCTCTTTGTAGAATGTCGACCTGTGTGATTCCAATCCGACTTCGATGGGCAATAGAGCGTCCATTCCGTAAACCATGTGGAATGGTGACTGCCCTGTTGAACTTCTTGGGGTCGTCCTATAGGCCCATAGGACCGCTGTCAGCTCGTCGACCCAAGCACCAGATGCTTTTTCTAGTCTTTTCTTTAGCCCTTGCAAGATGGTTCTGTTTGTCACTTCGACTTGGCCATTCGCTTGAGGGTGTGCGACTGAGGCGAACCGCTGCTTGATCCCCATGTCGACACACCATGCATGGATCCGCTTTCCCTGAAATTGCGTCCCATTACCCGAAATCAAGATCTTTGGGATTCCGAATCGACAACAGATGTTATTGAACAAATAATTGGTCATTTTATCTTCAGTGATTTTTGCCAGAGGCTCTGCTTCTACCCATTTGCTAAAGTAGTCGACGGCAACCACCATAAATTTTCGTTGTCCTGTTCCCATTGGCAATGGTCCTACCAAGTCAATTCCCCATTGAGCAAAAGGGATCGGGCAGCTGATTGTCGTCATTGCTTCGGCTGGGACGTGGGGGATTTGACCATGGCGCTGGCATCTATCGCATCCTTGTACTAATCGTTCAGCTGCTTTTTGGATCTTGGGCCAATAATAGCCTGCGCGAAGGGCTTTGCCCGCTAGGGCTCATGATCCTCCATGTGCTCCGCAGCACCCTTCATGGATTTCCTTCAAGACATGGTCCCCCTCTTTTTCAGAAACGCATCGCAAGTGGGGCCCGACCATCGATTTCTTATACAAGACTCCTTTGATCTCAAAATATTTACTCAAATATAGGGCTGCTTTCTCAGCCTCCTGCTTATCTCCCTCTGGCACCCGACTTTGTAATAGCTCGCGAATTGCTTTTCGCTAATCTTGGCTTTCGTCGACCTCCATTGTCTCACTCAGAACACTTCCTTCCAAGTGTAGTGTGGTAATATGATTCCCCATTTTTCCTTCGTTCTAACTTGCAATTCTTGCGAGCCAGTCGGCTCGCTTGTTCTCTTCTCGAGGTTCTTGTGTTAGCTCAAAGCTGTCCAAGCCTTGCACTAGGCTCTGAATTTCTTCGACATACTTTATCATCCGATCCTCTTTGATTTCGCAATTTCCCAATACTTGCCCCACAACTAGTTGTGAGTCAGAATGTGCCGTGATCTCCATCGCTCCGCCCCCGATTGCCAGTTGGATTCCCTTAATTAGAGCCTCGTACTTCGCTTCGTTGTTTGAGGCTTTGAACCCCATTCTAATGGCGAAGTCGAGCTGTTCGCCTTCAGGGGATATCAGGGTTACTCCCAGACCAGATCCCTTGGCTGATGAGGACCCGTCGACGTGCATCATCCATTTCTTGCTTGCCCCTTTAGTCCCTTCTTGAATAAAGTCGGCTAGAGCTTGGGCCTTTATAGCTCGTCGAGGTTCGTATTTGATGAAAAATTCGCTAAGTTCGACTACCCATTTTACGAGTCGACCCGACACGGTAGGTCGACCCAGGGTCTCTCCGAGCTGGAAATTTGTCCTTACTATTATCACATGGTTCAGGAAATGTGGTCTTAATTTTCTGGCTGTGAGTACCAATGTTAATGCAGCCTTCTCGACTTCAGAATATCTTGCTTCTGCGCCTTGAAGCACTCGACTTGTATAATAGATCGGCTGTTCGGCTCTTCCAGCTTCTCGCAGTAATACCGAACTCAAAGAAAAGATTCCCACCGAGATATAGAGCACCAATTCATCGCCCGGCTTCGGCTTTAATAACAATGGCAGTTCGCTCAAAAACTCCTTCAACTTTTCAAACGCTATCTGAGCCTCGTCACCCCACTGAAAAGCTTTTTTCTTGAGTAACTTGAAGAATGGGAAACTCCTTTCCGCAGCTCGAGCTATGAATCGACTTAGACCTGCAATTCGACCTGTCAGGACTTGCACTTCTCTAACGCTCTTTGGCGGAGCCATGTCGAGTATGGCTTGCACTTTGTCCTTATTTACTTCGATGCCTCTTTCAGTTACGACATAGCCTAGGAATCGTCCTGCCCTTACTCCAAAGGCACACTTACTCGGGTTTAGTTTCATTCCAAATGTTCTTAATGTCGTAAAAGTTTCCCTCAAATCCTCCACATGCGAGATCGAGGACCTACTTTTCACCAAGATATCGTCCACATAAACTTCCATATTTCGACCGATCTGTGATTTGAACATTTGATCCATCAACCTCTGGTATGTTGCCCCCGCATTTTTAAGCCCAAAAGGCATGACGACATAGCAATATGTCCCCTTGCTCGTTACGAAACTAACTTTGCTTTGATCCTTAGGAGCCAACGGAATTTGGTGATATCCCTGGGACGCGTCCATCATACTTAGCAATTGACAGGCAGCTGTGGAGTCGACCAGCTGGTCGATTCTCGGCAGGGGGTAGTGGTCTTTTGGGCAAGCTAAATTTAAGTCACGAAAATCGATGCACATGCGCCACTTATTTAGCGCTTTTCTCACCATCACTGTATTCGATATCCATTCGGGGAATTAAATTTCTTTGATATGTTTGGCCTTCAGCAACTTGTCCACCTCGACCTCGATTGCTTTATCGATCTCTGCCCCGTGACGCCTGAGACGCTGCTTCACAGGTTTCTTGAGGGGGTCGACGTTAAGTTTATGCTCCATGACATCGGGGTTGATTCCTGTTAACTCTTCGGGGGAAAAAGCGAATATGTCCCTGAATTCTCTCAGCAGTCCCACCAACTGTCGACGCAACTCGTCTTCCAATTCTCGCCCAATTTTAGTGGTCTGTTCCTCTTTTTCCCCGATTTGAATCTCCATTAATTCTCCATGTGGCTCAAGGTCACTCTCCCTTTGTCTTTTTTCGCTTGACGTCAGCTTTTTCCCTTCTTTCACCTCCGTCCGTTGGTTTGTTCTTACTGCAATCTGATAACAGGTTCTTGACAGCCTCTGGTCTCCTCTGGCCTCCCCGACTTTATCTCCCACGGGGAATTTTAGTTTCATATGGTAGGTTGGCACTACTGCTTGGAATGTGTTGAGCGTTGGCCTTCCCAGAATCACATTATAGGCTGACTCGACGTCGACTACGACAAATCGTACCATTTTCACTTTCCTTAGGTCGTCTTCCCCTAGGACGACAGCGAGCGTGGTCTCTCCTAGGGGTGCGGCTTCCGAGCCGTTAAATCCAAAAAGTGAGGTGTGTAGGGGTGAGAGCTCGATGTCGAGTTCCATCCGCTTAAGACAATTGTAAAAAATCATGTTCACCGAGCTTCCTGTGTCGACAAAGATTCTTTGTACTACATAGCCCGATATCTGAGCTGTGATCATTAGGGCATCGTTGTGAGGTCTCTCGACTTCTCCCATGTCTGCTGGTCCAAAATTCATCACCGGATCGTTTTCCTCGACCTGCTGCACCTCAATTTTTCTATGGTGTCCTCGAGCATAGGCTTTTCTGGCCCGATTTGAATCTCCATCAGTCGGCCCTCCGAATATCATGTGAATTACTCCTCTTTTCTGAGGGAGCTCCTCCTTGTCGGGTGTTCTTGCTCTCTTGTGAGGGCTTTTGCTTCTCTCCCTGCGCCGACTGGTCCGCTCTAGATCCTTATAAATGAATTCCTTCAGATGGCCTGCTTTGATTAGTCTCTCAATCTCATTTTTTAGGTGCCGACATTCATCGGTATTATGGCCGTAGTCTTTGTGAAATCGACAATACAGATCGCTTTTAGGCTTTGTTGGCCCATCCTTTCTCGTCAGTGGCCACCTGACAACATTGTCACGGATCTCTTTCTCCATAACCTCCAGTATCCTTGCATTCGAAGCTAACAGGGGAGTATATTGGGATGTCCTCCATCCCCTTGATCGTCCTTCTCTTTCAGACCTCGGGGATCCCTTCCTTTAAGTCGTCGCGACCGGCTTTTTATCCTTCTTCTCGTCCCGAGGCTCAGTTTTTGACTTGGCTGCTTGCAGAAAGTCCGCTTCAGCTTCTTCCACATTCATGTATTTGGCGCATCTTCCTAACACCTCGTCGAACGTCCTCCCGGGTCGCTTTGCTAGGGAGTTTCTGCATAGCCCTAGGAGCATCCCTCGAGTGAGCCCTCCTGACTTGATTTCCTCGGTGGCCGAGGGGACGTCGACGCATGCCCGTGTGTACCTTGCCACATAATCCCTCAATGATTCCCCTTCTTTCTGTTGCATACCTATCAGAGTAAGGTAAGACTTTTCTTTGGCTTTTACACTTGCGAATTGGTTTAGGAAGCTCGAGCTAAATCCGTCGAAGTCCCTGACGGCTCCTGGGGGCAATTGGTGAAACCAATCCTGCGCTGGTCCTCGCAGGGTCGTCAAGAACGCTCGACATTGAATGGGGTCGTTATAACGGTGCAGTACTGCCATGTTTTCGAAACTCCTTAGATGTCGAGAGGGATCAGTCGACCCGTCATACCAGATGTTGAGCTCCCTGAACCCCTGAGGCAAGTCGGCGTCTAGAATATGTTACGAAAAAGGGCGTCCCCTCGAGCTTCCCGTTTTTCTTCCTTCCACTCGAGCCTGCAAGTCTCGCACCTGCGCTAACAGCTGCTCCAGGGTATCGTTTCTGGCTTGTGGATTAACAGTTCTGACAGAGGACTCTTCTTCATCTACCCTCCTGTTCTGCCTCTCATGTGATTGCGCCTGTTGCTCGCGCTCAAGGGGTTGCTGCTGATTTTGAGGCTGCTCGACCCTTGCTTGTTCGATCCTGGGCCGTTCGACCCTTGGTTGCTCGACTGGCGTCTGTTTGAGTTGGGCCGCTACTGCCTCCGCGATCATTCTCTGCATCTCGCTTCTCGTCACGGTCAGCGTTTGTTCCTCGACTTGGAGTGGTGGCCTTGTCTCCTGATCAGGTTGCCCAGGTTGCCTCCCCAACCTTAAATATATTTCGGTCGATGCGTGACCATCCATTTCTCCGCTCGTGTCCTTCACGTGACTGGCCTCCCCTTGGGTGAGAACCGGGATCTTGACTCCGGGTGGGGTAATAGGCGTCTTCTCTCCCATACGCCCTCCTGACGGCGCGTGCGCCCCAAAAGGTGGGAATCCCAGCACCTGGAGTGGTGGTCTAAGGCTGGGAATCGGCGGAGGTCGCTTGTCAGTCCATGTTGCCCTGAAATATTCATTCAAGTTTTTCTGCACTCCTTCCTTCTCAGCCATCGGAAACAGATCAAAGCTAGGTGTAAAGCTCTTAATTCCTTCAAGAACTCCCCACAGACGACGCCAAATGATGGGTCTATTTCCGGATCTGGGGTGTCCTGATGGTCTCCAAATTGCTATCGAACCACAAGAACACCTGCAAGAACTCAACGCCGAAGGGATTTCCGGCGTAGAGCCTCCGACGCTCAAGTCAGTATGTGAAAGAGATGAAGAGAGCTGCTCTGAGAGAGCAGCAGTAATAGAAAGAATGTGGAATGAATGGGAGTTAGGGTTTTGGGATTACCTCAGCTCCTTTATATAGAAGTGCAACATTTACCTGAAGTCCCCAAAATGCCCCGACCGACTTACTGGAAATGTCCAAAATACCCTGGTCGGTTCGCATTCTGCCCATTTCCTAGTCAGCATCTAGATCCTTCCTTAGCTTCCTTCTTATCCTTAACTTTCCCTCGATACGCTGAAGTGTATCAAAGCTGTCCAGATCTATGAACTGCGAGATCCCTCAGTCGACCTGAGATATCGACTCGAGTCGACTGGATCGTATTCAACCGCTAGTGGATCCTGATACGTCTGACCATCGTCCTAGAGGAAATCGACTTATGTTAGTTGACATGTGTACGTCGACTTAGACGAGTGCCGGGATCCTTGACCGTGAGTATCATGAAGAGCCTTATTGGCGGAGTCGACTTTGCTAAAATCGACTTGGTAATCTCTGAGCCGTGATGATATGGACCGTTATGAGTCAATGCGGCTATATCATCACCTATCCCAAATTACATTTGAGACTCCTTATTATAATTATCCGATTTACCTCCCCATGTTTAAGATATAATGTCCATTAATTAATTCGATCACTGATAATCAAGAATTAATTAATATATTATATTACCACAGCTAGCGCTCACTCATAGCATTCATATTATGCCGGAATAACAGGTTTCATCATAATCGATACCCTCTTTCTGGGTATAACCTTTCGCAACAAGCCTAGCTTTAAAGGTTTCCACCTTTCCATCCGATCCCCTCTTTCTCTTGTAAACCCACTTGCATCCAATGGGACGTATCCCATTGGGTGATTATACAAGATCCCAGGCCTGATTGGTGTCCATAGACCCCATCTCAGCTTTCATTGCAACCATCCACGAATTTGCATCTCTATCTTGGAGTGCCTCGTCATAAGTTCTTGGGTCCGATTCTAGGTCTCCTAGAACTGAGTTCAATGACTCTCCAAGACCTATCCATCAGTCGGGTTGTGTAGAAACCCTCCCACTACGATGAGGTACCGTCTGTACTGGCACACTATCAGTGTTACGTGTTGCAGTATTATGTGATGTATCTACTTGCGCACTCGGTGGGGAACTATCGATATCTCTCCCTAACTCCTCTAGGACAAGTTTACTACTGGGCTTACGATCTATGATATAGTCTTCTTCCAAGAATCTAGCGTTCGTACTAACGATCAGAAGCCTTCTGATCCTCAAGACTATAAAATAAACCACCTTTCGTTTCCTTGGAGTAGCCGACAAACAGTCTCACTTCTGAACGTTTCTCCAACTTGCCAGCCTCCTGCACTAAGA